GTGCTCCAATTAATGCTGCAGCTGGGAGTAATGCAGATTCTCGGTTCTAGCCTGCAGTGTTAGGATGGTCAACTTATATTAACGAGTTAACCAGACCAGATGTTAGGGCAGCAGACTGCTGACCTGCAGGTTTCTGCTTTCTCTGATGCTGGCGTCACTCACATTACTGCTTTTTATATGAACCCAATAATGATAACAAGAGCACACGCCTCCTCTAAGGCAGCTCGCTCTCTGCAGTATTTACTTTTACTGGACAGATGTTTACTTTGATTACTCAAACATTATGTAGGAGCAGGTAATCGATAATAGGTATTGATTTGTAGTAACTGGACATTAAAAGCTCGAGCTTATTACATGGTGTTATCCTACAGTTTATTTTTAACTAACTCGGCTTCTCTTTCTCTTGACAATACTTTCTTTAAAGGTATAACACACCTTTGGAGTCAGCTGTGAAATGTAAAAGAAAGGTCAAATGTGCACTACAATGTGACATTGAGAATCCTCATATACCACTATCATTTCCTGAATGTTGGCAGTATAAACAAACACATTAGACTTTTATCATCGCTTTACAGATAAAAGAGAATTTATGAAAGTTTGACCTTATTTGACCTTAAAGGAGAGGTCAGAGGTTCAAGGTAACGTGATATTTAGAATCCACATATATACTGTATTATTCCCTATATGCCTATATGTTGTCAATACAAACAATAGCAGTAAGAAGTAAGTAAGTAAAATTCATTTATACAGCACTTTTTAGGTGCTTTACAGGTAATATAATAACATATCAGACAAAACAACATAATACACAAGAACTTTACCCAAATGCCCGTCTAAATATTTGAGTTTTCAACTGTTTTTTAAAAGAAGCCACAGAGTCCACGGTGCGTAGAGTGGGAGGTAAACTGTTTCACAGTATTGGTGCTAGGGTTTGGAAAGGGCATCTGTGGAATAGCCAGAAGACCACCATCAGTGGATCTAAGGATCCAGCTTGGAGAGCAAGGGTGAAGAAGCTCGATGATATGAGTGGGGGTCTCTCCTCGTAAAGACATAAAAGTATGAGTGAGTGATTTTAAACTGATATCTGAAAAAGCATTGTTTTAAATAGCTCTATATACCATTATTATCACTTTGACCTTCAGTCTGCTGACTTTGAAGCATTCAGATTAATTCAATTTTATTTATACAGCGCCAAATCACAACATCAGTCGACTCAAGGCGCTTTATGTTATAAGGTAGACCCTACAATAATATATACAGAGAAAAGCCCAACAATCACATGACCCCCTATGAGCAAGCACTTTGGCGACAGTGGGAAGGAAAAACTCCTTTTTAACAGGAAGAAACCTCCAGCAGAACCAGGCTCAGGGAGGGGCGGGGCCATCTGCTGAGACCGGTTGGGGTGAGGTCAGAGGTCAGTTTTGACATTATGTAAATCTTTATACGTCACTTTACACGTGTTGATAAGAAACACCACACTTGTAAAAGTCATAGTTTCTAAGTACGTGGACCTTGGTGGACGTAAGTAAATTTTTATGGTTTGTTAATCTACAGCCCTACAAAGTTTTATCAGTATTCATTCTTTTTGAGCTGTCACGTATGCAGAGATTATGACACACATAACCTCCTTGCCAGAGGTGATAAAGTTAACTAGACTGGATGTTTGAGCAGTAAGTAATAATCTAAAGATGTTTGGTTTGTCCTGCTGCAGATGCTAATCTGATCTGTTTTGCAGTATTTTGGCTGAATCTGGGCAGAGAGTAGTCCTGCACACGTCAGAATTCATCCATCATTCTCATTCAAATGAACCATGGTTTCATCTGTCCAAAAACATTGTGCTTTTCAGAACACTTGAATCTTATCAGGCTCTTTTAGATGTTACTGTTCTCGAGCGTAACTAGTGGTTTGTGGCTTGTTGTAATCCTTCTGTATTTACATTCACGAAGGCATATCTTGCTTGTAGACTTTGGCAACGATAAGTCGACCTCCTTGTGGCTGTTGACTTGGTTAGAGGTTGTGAATGTCAGAGACATTATTTAGGCTGGAGAGCGATAGAAAACAAAAGACAGCAGGAAACTAACTAGACTACACTGGGAAAACTAAACACTGGAACACATGACCCATGAAGCACAGACCACCCAAAAATAAACAAGGGGAAACTCACACAATAAATACACAGAGGTGTGACAAGGGAAGTGGAAACACATGGGGAACACAGCAGGAACAAATTAGGTGAGACGAGACAGGAGGAAGGAAACACCCTGAACACGGAGACGGGACTGTCAAAGTAAAACAGGAAACACAATGACACAGATTAAGACACGCAG